ACTGATTTTGCTTCTTTTCATAATATTCATTTTTTTTTCAGTTATACCCCTAAGAAACGCAATGAGCGAATCATGGTGTCTTATTTTCATGAAAATGCTGCAGAGTGAGTCACTTGTATATCGTAGCTAAAGTCTGAGTGACACCAGATTCCATTCTATGGAAATGCGACTTATGAAGCAATTCTTTCTTATGTGAAATATGGAAACTCAATTTCAATGTAGAGAATTAGATAAGTGATTCTCCTGAGCTGGCCTGTAGCTTTTTTTTTTTTCCTTTTAAAGGAGTCAGTCAGGATGAATACCTTCCTTTACATGGACAGGCATGTACATTGTACTTAACATCACAGCTCACTCATGTCTGGGTAGATATATCATTAGCTAGAGACTACTAAACTCCAGCATTGGTCCATTTCTTTGATCCACACCTCAGAATCTGGACACCATGTAGAATATTTTATTTACTATTAGCACGCCCCATTGAAACCTCAATTTTTTGTGTGCTTGTGTACAAGTGTTCATGTGTGTGGGTGCCCAAGTGCATATAAGGTGAATGCCCACATGTTTTCTTATATGGGGAGGCTAGAGACAATCTCAGATGTTATTCCTCATGAGCTGTCCATGTTGTTTTTGTTGACAGGGTCTTTTGCCTTCATCTGTTTAACTTGGGAAATGCAGACTGGCCCCTCCCTGAGCATCAGATCTGCCTGCCTCGGCTTCCCCAGTGCTGGAATCATGTCCCTTTGCTATGATGTCTAGTTTTGTTCTTTTATGTTGGTTATGAGGGTGGAACCAGGCTCCTCACACTTGCACAGCAAGTAGTTTATTAACTAAGATCTCACTCCAACTCAATATTAACATTTTAAAATGTCAAACACTTTTCTAACTGGATATTACTATTCTGTTGCTTCATGAACTAAATGTATGGTTGTCCCAGGAGCCTACAGACAATGTCCATTTTTTTTGCTTTCAAAGAATTTATAGACCAAAGGGAAGACAGACAGATAATCCTGATGATGAAGAATACAAAATGGGTACAAAGTGTGCAGAGCTCTCCTTTAATCTCAGCACTCAGGAGGCAGAGTCAGGCGGATCTCTATGAGTTCAAGACCAGCCTGGTCTACAAGAGCTAGTTCCAGGACAGGCTTCCAAGCTACAGAGAAACTCTGTCTCGAAAAAACAACAACAAAAAAGTGACCAGAAGAGGAACACAGTGAATTTTGACAAAACAAACACAAAATTACTATAGTCTTTTCAGAGTTTGGGCCTTTTATTTACATCTGGAGGAATGAAGGCATTTTTACAGAATAAGCAAGAGAATTATCTATCTCCAAGGCCACCATGTAAGGAAACTAATGTTCTATGTTCTCATGGTGGTAAAGGGCTCTGAGGGTTCTTTTCCAAAGCATTTTCAGAGGTGTTAAATTCAGATCAGCTTCCACCGTGATCATCAGAGAGTGATTCATGAGAAGGTACAGAAAGGGGAATCATTTCATTTATGTCTCTGGATTTTAGTCAGAAAAAATTAAAATATCCGTGTTTCAGACCATAGAAACAAGTCCAAATCTGTCATTCATTTACCACCCACAGCCAAATACATGTGAAAAAATGATGTCCCTCCACACCCAGAAGTCACTCATCATGGCTTAGTAGAGGAGAAGCCCAACAGAAGGAACCAGATTTGTAAGCCTCTTGAGAAGGCAAAGATTCCTACCACATTTGTACAGTTTCGAGCCTTTCCCCGACTTATTGTTTCTATTTTTACTGATGGTATTCATGATTAAGCTGAGGAACAACTTGATGCATGAACTTCCATCTGGAAGCTTGTCTGCGAGTTTGCTCGGTGAAGATGACATAGGCATCCTGGAATGAACTGAGAACAAGAGGGTAGAATTTGGGACTGTGCTGAGACGTGTCTGTAGAGGTGTGTGTGAGCTGGTATGTGGTGTACTTTGTCCTCTGCCAAGTGCAACGTGTGGTGCAGATGAAATTTATGAGAAACACAAGCCTCATGTGTCTCCTTCAATATTACTTAGGAACATGGCATTTAGTTAGCATGGCCTTTGATTGTTGCCAGATCTTTGTACGATTGTCACTTCAGTAAAAGCAATTTGATTATAGCTGGACACAGAGCTGGGATTCCTTTAGCTATTGACTCACTATGTTCTTGTTAGCAGGAAACATTTGTTTTTCTGTTCATCTGAAGTACAAATAGCCACCACAGGAGACTATGATAAAATGCCTGGCTAATGGGATAGAAGGCCCCTGGCACTCTCCACCTATTACTTTCTGGGCCCTGGTGTGATTCCTCTTTTTCAGTGTGAACTGAACCCAGTACCCCGATGCTAAGCACTAGCTCTAGTAGATATGGAAGGTCCAAAAACCTGTGTTTTCAGTCTCCTGGTATTCTGTATTTATTTATCCCTTGGATTCTCTCTTTCGCTTGCTCTGTGGGGAGGCCCAGATGGTGAGAAAGTGAATGCAGCCTCTAGTCAATAGCCAATGTGCCGAGGAGGTCCTCAATCCAAATGCCGTCAAGGAACTTATTCTCATCAATAATCTCTGCCTGGGAGAGAGCTTGAAGCAGACCTCTTTAGCTGTGCACCGATATGCTGCAGTTTGGAGAGCTCCAGTGCCCCAAGATGCAGGGAAGGCAACCTGGAGTCCCAATCTGTTGAAATGGAGATGCGAATGGTATTTCATGCCACTCAGCTTTGAGATGCTTTGTCACCCAGCCATAGGTAATTATATCATTGATTATAGAAGTAGCATGGGTTCGCATGGGCCACAAAGCTGGAAAGTGAATCTATCTCTCTATATCTATCTATCTATCTATCTATCTATCTATCTATCTATCTATCTATCTCTATCTCTATCATCTATCTCTATCATCTATCTCTATCATCTATCTCTATCATCTATCTCTATCATCTATCTATCATCTATCTATCTATCTATCTATCTATCTATCTATCTATCTATCATCTATCTATCTATCATCATCATCTCTGCTTGTATTAATTGCAACAACCTGGCAATGGTGTTATTGATTATATTTTGAAACACAGTGATGATATATACGTTTTACACACACACACACACACACATAGACACACACACACACAGAGAGAGAGAGAGAGAGAGAGAGAGAGAGAGAGAGAGAGAGAGAGAGAGTTCAGAACATATAGTTAGGACATGGTAGAGACTGAAAAATCAAAGGGTCTATTCTCAAGATGGGCTTTTTTCTTGATTTGAATGGGAGATAAGAGCTGGGGGCAGGGTTAGTGAGGGCAGAAAGCAGGATTCTTGAGGGAGGGTCTTTTTAGTCACTTTCTTTCTTAGAGATCTGGACATCTTGAAATGAAACCTAACATAAAGGAATTGATGATCATGAAAATGCAGCCTTATCATATACAGACTGTGTCTATAAACAGTTAATACGTATTTCACTTTCTAAGCAGCCTCTGACTGAAAAGCTGAAGTCCTTAGATACTTCTATGGTGATTAGCAAGGGGTCCTGTGACTTTAGAATCTGTGTTAGGCTGTTTTCATGAAGCTAAAAAATAGAACAAAGTATCATGAACAATGAATACATGTAACAAAAATTTAAAAATAAAAAATAATAGCGTCCAACACTCCATACTTTGATACTGATATTGTATCGGGGTGCCAGATCTATATCATCTACAACCAAGGTTTGTCAAAATGGGCTTGGCTAGACAAAGACAAGATTGGAGTAGTAGAGATGTGTGGCACATGTTGTTTTTATTGTAGAAGAGTATAGGAAACAGAAGGAATAATATAGTAATAATATAGTGATGTGCCTCAAGAAGGTGATGCTTGCCCTGAGTACTCCTGTCCTATCTAGAGCTGAGCTGGCATTTGCAGAATTTATTTGACTCTGAGTAGTTGCTGAGGTTGTCTGACCAACTCCAACATGAGACCCCCGTGCTCTCTCTCTGGCCATTAGCTCTTAAACTCTTGCAATAGTTTCCTGTTTCCATTCCTGGAAGGAGCTGAGAAGGTATCATTGCTCATGGGGCCTCTGCACAGCACAGCCTGTAAGTATAGCAATACTTTATTCCAACAATATTTAAGGACATTACAATTAACTCACAAAGTTAGCAAGCTCCCTAGTTGGAGATGATTGAAATCTAGAGTCTCATTGTTACCTCACAGTTTTCACAGATATTTCTAATGCACCACTGTTTAGAAAGGCAGAACCTGGTCATACGGGTGTGGTGGGTTGAGTATGTCTGACTCCCTTGGACTCACGTGTTTGAATGCTTGGCTTATAGAAAATGGCACTCTTAGGAGGTGTGGCCTTGTTGGAGGAAGTGTGTCACTATGGGGGTGGGCTTTAAGGTCTCAGAAACTCAAGTCAGTTCATTCCCTGCTGCCTGAGGATCAAAATGTAGATTTCTAAGCTCCTTCTCTAGTACCATGCCTGCCTAAAGTTGCCATGTTTCCCACCATAACGATGATGGACTAAACCTCTGAAACTAAGCCAACCTCAATTAAATGTGTTCCTTCATAAGAGTCGCCATGGTCATGGTGTCTCTTTAATACAATAAAACCCAAACTAAGACACAAGGCTATACATCAATTGAAATAGGGTTAGTGAGACTGAAGAATTTTTTTACTTAATTTAATTTCAATTCATTCAAATCCAAATGCACAGGTCTAGAGGCTGTTATTTTATTGCATATTTAATATTTAATTTGAGCTCATATGGATAATATATTTTCCAAGTCTCAGGCTCCAAACTAGAATTTTTGCATATATTCATCTAGTTTTCAGAAAACCCATTGAGACCCATTATATTATTTATATTTCATAGAGCAGAAATTTAGCTATCACAGGTAAAATAGGCTTCCTCAAATCAGGTGAGAGACAGGATTAAAAAGTTAGTGTGGGTCCATATCTATTTCTAGTGCAGAGAAAAAGGACCAAGTCAACAGAAATAGAAAAGAAGAATGACAAAAAAACAGTTAAAATGAGGCTCTTGTTACAATAAGTTCTTTCATTTTATTCCTTATGATAAACAATTTAGCCATAGCAAATGTTAGCTTTTAAATAACCATAATCCAAAATTTTACATCAAATATTGTTTTCCTCCATATACATCGGTGAACTTTAAACATCTATGATATATTTGTTTACGTTATTATGACACTAAAAAAAAAACAGTAAAATCCTTCATCTTTTGTAAATGTATAGGCTTGTGCTATACCTTAGGGGAAGCCATAAACCACTTGAAGAGAGATGGTGTGGACAGAAATGGTTCCCGGGCAGGTGACACTTATGAACATAGGAGGCACATGGTGGATCTACATTAGCGCAACGATGAATATTCCATTTCAACAGCCTTGCCTCTTCATTTTTCCTTAGGAACCTGCAGTGCATTTGCAAACATCATGCTCAAATCCCAGAGAGTTTGGCATTGTGAACTATAGCTGTAGAGGAGTAGAGACTAATCACATTTGCATGGGAAAAATAAATTAAAGCCTGTGGACTGTTAACACGATGCTAATACTTCCTGCGAGACATGGAGCCTTTCAGCAGAACAGTCAGGAACCCCTGAAGGCTTCTCATCTTCCTAAGATTATCCTCGCCTAAGCCGAGCAAGACATTCCAAACAAATCGAGCCTTAATACCTCACTGCAGACCAGGTTCAGTCAGATCAACACATTTCTGATATAGCTATTTGTTACCGTAAAAGCCACTGCTCACTCATAGTGTTTCCCAACTATTTCTTTTGGTTATTTACCAAGTTTCTTAGTGTCATTTTGGAATGCCAATGAATTTTAATCATGATATTGGATTAAATGTTTTAGGCTCCCTTCTGAAGAGACAGAAAGGTCTCATCATCTATACTCAGTGTTCAGCAAACAGTTTAAAAGCACACAGAAGGACCTACATAAAAAATACAAATGTTAAGGCCACTGGCAATAGACTATAGCACATTTGAATTATTTATTGACTGCCTTTTTATTTAAAGGTAAGCACTTCATAAAAACCTGTACTTGCATAAAAGACAAGGGTGCCTCCTTACCTTTTCCATTAATTATGTAACTTTTCTAAAAGAATAGATTATTTAAAGTTTATAAAATGCAAAAAGTGGCTATTACATTTGAGCATATTTCTACAGAAAGAAATCAAATTTTATTTCCCCCTTTAAAAAAGTCTGTTGTATATGGTCAAATTCTGGCATTTTATTACTAATATAAAATCTCTGGGAATGTGGTTCTCAACATTTATTCCATAGTTAGAGCAATTTCATCACACTAGTGACTAAAGCCAAGGGGTTTTTAGGAGGGGTTTGTAATAACTAAGGTGATTTTAGCTTCCAGAACCTGTTGGGCACCTTTCATTTTGTTTAAATAATCAAATTAGTGAATAAGATTAATCTACTAGAAATACAACCGGTCATTTTACATCTTCCTAAAACATAAGCAAAAAAAAAAAAAATAAAGCTGAAAGGACTAGTCTGCTCTTTATTTTAGAAATTCTTTCTAGAATATTTCTTTAATGCATAGCTAGATTTTGTTTGCAATCTTGATGGGATGGCAGGGACCTTCACAAAATTTCTAGTCAACAATAATGCTGCTGCAACTGCTTTTTTATTTTTTACAGGTGTATCTTAGAGACAGCATTCAGTTGATTGTCTACCCATATCAGTAACACTTCTTCCATGTCCCCAGTGAAGCTGCCTGTGTTTTTTATAAGGCAAATTTTCACAAGAAAATCACAGAATTCACTAAAGAATACTTTCCACTTTCCCAGCGCACATTAAAGTTTTGTTTAGACTGCATTTACTAAGTTTCTTCAAAGTAATGTATACACCTGTATTAAAAATATTTTATTGCTGGTAAAAGGCAGCTAGCAACCGAGCTTTCAGAGGACGCACATCTTTTTGGTTGTTGGTGGTGTGAGAGTTGTGTAGTGACTAGCTTGGTGGTTGCTGAGGCTTGCTGGATGGATGTTAGTTCCTTCAAATGACAGGGAAGCCTGCTGTCTACAAAAGGCTTCTCTGCAGTGTGTGATGCTCTTTGGTAGCTTTTAATAAACAGTGTATCTTCTTTCAAATTTGTAGTCATCTCCAATTCTGCTGCTGACTTATCAAATGACTTAAAAGTAAACCCTCTCCTATCATCTCATCCCTGCCCACAGCACCTTTCTCCAGGAGCATATTTCACCCAAAGAAACTAATTTTTAGGGCTCACTTATAAGGGGCAATTGTTTATCTGGCAGTGATATTACAAGGTGTAATTGAGTTAAAAATCTTTAAATTCTATCTCTAATTTGGTTTCTTTGTGGTCCTAGCATATCTGTAGGTTCTTCCTCCACCAAAGTCTTCAAACTACCAAAATTATGCACGAAGGTTGAAAGCAACTTCTTCCAGATGAATATTAATATTGATATCCTGATCTGTTTTCATGAATCATGGATGATTTTAATGGCTTCTACAATGGCAAGTTTTTTTTCCCAGGATGCCTCTAATGTATTTTGTCCAGCCTCCAGAAGATCCCATTTTTATGTTAGCCATGGCCTTATAAAAGACAGTTCATAAATAGTAGTGCTTGAAAGGTGAAGTTACTCGTAGTCTATGGGACACAGTAGGCTTCGGACATGAGTAACATGAAAACATCTTTGTCTCTTCGCCATCTTGGATGACCAGTGCCTTGCCAATGAGCAGTAACAGTTTGAAAGGAATTTGAAGGAGCAGTAAATTCCAACACTTGGCTTAAAATATTCATTAGACTACATTGAAAATTGACTTGCTGTTCTCTATATAGACTGAGTAGATTTAGTATAGTCTTAAGGATTTTTGACTAGTAAATGAACATTGGGCATTGGCTTTATCTGAAGGTTGCCGTTTGTGTCATAGACACTAACAAGAAAGGCAGCCTATGTTTTAAGGCTTTGGAGTTAGGATGGCTTCTTTCTGTTGAGTGTGGAAGTTCTAAAGACCTTGTCTGCTGACAGTAGGGCCCTTTATTTTCATCTAGACTTTGTTTTACTGTAACCATCTTAATGTGCGATCCTAACTTCATCTGTGGGAGAACAGGATGAGGCCCACACATCAGTGTTCACTTTGCTGTTGGAGAGCAAGCTCCTCTCCTTCTTTTCAGGACCTGATCTGTGACCTTCAAATCTCTCCCTTACAGCATGTTCACCCCTGCCCACCTCTGTGGGAGGAAGAGAGATCAGTCCTAACTCCGGAGTAAGCTTTATGACTTAAGGGAATGTGGATGTTTTGATCTGCTACTTATACCACTAAAGAGTCCCCCTTATGAACAATGGGTCACCTTTCTCTTTCTTTACATGTGCTTGGAAAGAGATAAGTTTACTTTTCTTCAAGAAATCCCAATTTATGGTTAGAGCTTAGTTTATGAACTGGGCTAAGACACCAACCTTTCAGCCTATTCCAGATTTGACCAAGCCTTTCTCACTGAGATGAATTATTTCCAGCTTTGAGTTTAAAGCAAGAGATATATTCTTCTTTTAGCTTCCACACTTAGAGGTCATTAATAATATGCCTCATTTCAATACTGTTATCAGAAAAGAGAGGGTAAAGGAGGGGGAAGAAAGGGTAATGGGAGGAGTTTTTCAGTGGAGCAGACACAGCTCACACAATATTTATGAATGTACTAAGCTTGCTGTCTTATAGGGACAGAGTTTCAAACAAAACAGAAGACTACTATGGCAGTATCAACTGTTAGCCAATCACAGACCACCATAGCAGACATAATAACAGCAACGACAGCATTTAAAACTTTGTGAGAATTACCAAATGTGATACAAAGATAGGATGTGAGCCCCTACTGCTGGGTGAATGATACTGTTTGGTGCAAGGTTACCATGAACCTTCATGGTGTAAAAAATGCAACACCTGAAAAGTGCAAAAGGGCAAAGTGCAACAAGATGAGGTAAGCCTGTGCTAAAACCAGAAGTTCCTTCTGGCTTCTTCAATCCGGTGCCTCTATTGGTGCAGGCACAGAATAGACTTGAAGGCACTTAATGCGTATTTGTGGACAAACAAAATAATGAGCAATTATTGTTCTACTAAAGCTATATGGAATACACTTGTTTCCTGATATAACTCAGACTATCTTCTTTTTTTCTTTATTCCACAAAATAATGAGCAATTATTGTTCTACTAAAGCTATATGGAATACACTTGCTTCCTGACATAACTCAGACTACCCTCTTTTCTTCTTTATTCCAGGTTCAGTGTTGAAATAGCCTTCAGCTAGTTCTAACGCAGCATGATTAGCAGATGGCCTGCCAAGTGCACTGCTCTAATCTGATCGTGCTTGCGTGGTCCAGTATATCCTTTAATATGTGAATGCCAAGAACCAAGCATAAATCTCCACCTAGGGTCAACTCTGAGCAGGGTAGGAACCCTGGTATCCACATGGGCATTCTGCCTGAGATATTATCTGTCCTCAACCAGTAGACAATCATTTGTTTGGCATGTTTCTAAATTAAGGCATTCCATTCTGGCAAAAATTGCTAATTAGCACATATTCGGTTGTGGGAGGAGGAATGTTTCCTTGAATTTCCAGGATAAGGAGGGGGTGGGGAGCGCTGGGCTGAAGCTTGAGGGGTCGGAGAGTATGGTGGAGGCAAGTCTGTACAATATTCCATCTCGTGGTCGTACGTGTAGGGGGGTGGCGCCACTGGAAAGAAAAGGAAAACAAATCAGGCATTTAGTAAATATGTTGGTTACCGTTTTAAACCAGTGTGCTAGCTACTTTGAGAAGCTAAATACCCTTTGTTTCCAAAACTATTAATATTTGTGCGCACAGGTATGGCTGAACAGATGCATTTTCTGTAAGGTGCTGCCCTGGTGAGAGCATTTGGAGTTGGGGCTTATGGAAACTCGCTTGGAAATAGGATGCTGAAGGGGCAGAGAGTGGAGACACAGAGGGAGTTTGAGCTTGGCTGAAAGTACAGAAGCAGAAGGGTATGTGTATTTCAGCAGATTATGGAGAAAGAGAGACCTGGAAACGGAGGCTGGGAGCTGGATTCACCATTAGCATGCTGGCCTTGATGTCATGGGTAGATTTAGTGCTGTGGCATTCTTAAAAAAGAAATTGCAAAATTCATTTTTTTTACAGTTTTTCCTTGTATATATTCACTGAGCCCAATACTGTTTATAAAAAGATATTTTTATACAAATGCATATGGTACACTGAATATGTTCTTCCATAGGCTCCATCCTCCCCTTTATTCTCCTTTGCTGTGCTGTGGGACAATGGTCTTGTATTCTGTCACATGTATTATTTTAATAAAATGCTCATTGGCCAGTAGCCAGGCAGAAAGTAGAGGCAGGGCAACCAAAAACAAAATATTCTGGGAAAAAACAAACAAACAGTCAGTCTACAGTCATAACCCAGACCAAAAAAAAAAAAAAGCAAGATAAAAATGCCTCACTGATTAAAGGTACCAAGCCATGTGGCTAACATAGACAAAAATAACGGGTTAATGTAAGTTATAAGAGTTAGTAAGAAAGCCTGAGCTAATAGGCCAACCAGTTTATAATTAATGTAGACCTCGGTGTATTTCTTTGGGACTGAACGACTGCGGGACCCGGTGGGATAGAAACCTCTGTCAACACTCCTTGTTTGAGTTCTGTTTTCATGTCATAGATGATGTTAGGTTTCCATATAAAATCTAGGAATCACAAATAGGAGCCACGATGCCTTTCTGAGATGGGCTGAATTCCCTTACTAGGATGCTCTCCTGTCGCACCATTTCCTCCCAAACAGCGTAACCTAGTTCTCTGTTGGGACTTGATGCGATTCTACTGCCTGTGGATCACATTCCATCCACCTCTGTGTTGCTGGGTGCTGGCTGGTTTCATAACCATGGCTGTGACTAGTGTTGTGTAACACGGGCGAGAAAGCATCTCTGTGGTACTTAGAAAAATAGATTAGTGAATGTGCTTTGGTGAAACTACTCCCGCAGAGGGAGAGGCAGACTGCAGAAAGGTGAGGTGACGGGATGTAGAAGACCTTCATGACAGCCAGGAGGAAATAGTCACAAAACACCAAGTGGCTGAGTATAGGTCATTGAGAATGCAGGAAGGCGTAAGAGGGTGAAAGCAGAGAAGAAAGCACTGGGCAGCCAGCACGAGGGTTTCCAGAACTTGCAGGACAAACAAGTTTTGGAATGGAGATGAAGTATTTCCAGAAAATCTGTCTTAATTTTATTTATTGTAATGTATTTTACCACATTAAATAACCACATTTACTATACTTGATAGTGATTTCTCCCGCATGCTTGTTTTGTAGTGATCCTAATTCAGTCTCCAGGGGAGGAAGAGAGCCACCTGGGAGCTGAAATTCATCCACGTCTTCATGATGATAAACCAAAAATAAAATCACCCCCAGGACCTAGATCCTACTTGGGAAGTGACAGACCTTAACTGGTCACTATGAATGTAGCATGGATCTCAAGACTAATGTCACAGTAATGAGACGAAATCTCCAAGCTTTTGGCATTGCAACGGCAGCAGAAAATAGCTAGCATTTCAGCAAACTGCTCTTCCCCCAAAGACTTGACAGCTTTCTGATAAACAGGGACACAGGAGGCCTCAATCACTAACAGGCACACATGTGCACACAGGAGGCCTCAAGCACTAACAGGCACACGAGTACACACAGGAGACCTTAACCACTAACAGGCACACGTGTGCACACAGGAGGCCTCAAGCACTAACAGGCACATACATGCACACAGGATACCTTAACCACTAACAGGCACACACATGCACACAGGAGGCCTCAAGCACTAACAGGCACATGTGTGCACACAGGAGGCCTCAACCACTATGAACATGGAAGCAATGTTTCTCCTGGATCCCTCTGGGGTGCCTCTTTTTTACAAAGACCTTGCTCTTTGGAGTTATGTACTGACCTCCCTATAGACAGAGGAAGTGAGGAAAGAGAATTATGGAAAAGAGAAAACAGGAATATGGATGTACCCAAGTGAGTGGCTTATTCCCAGAGAGAGCCCTGCTCTGCTGAGAAGGTACTCCCTAGTGCATTGGGGAGACAAAATCTTTCATCAGTAAGGGAAGTGGGCTAAGTGACAATACCAGGAGAGATGCTCTAAGCTTCTTTAACCTTCCTTTAGAGCAGCCTAACTGTACACTCTGTCTTTACAACAAAACGGAGTAATTCCTGGGGAGAGCAAACACATTCTCGTGAGATTTTGTGCCCATTTCCTGGCTCTGTTAAATACAAGAGGCTGATAGAAAGGTTTATGGAATGGTCTCGTGCATACCAAGAAAGAAGGCCCTACAGCCTTCACATGAACTAGCAGATCCCAGGAAGCTCCTGGTCACACTGGTCCTTGTAAACATTTAGTTTCACTTTGATATTTTGCTGAAGTTTCTCCCTCCCCTTCTGTGTGCTGTGATTACTATTAACGAATAAAGAAATTGCCTTGGCCTGTTGATAGGGTAGAACTTAGGTAGGCAGGGAAGACTGGTCTGAATGCCGGGAAAAAGAAGGGTGGACTAGGGGAGAAGCCATGAAACCACTGGAGACAGACATGCTGGAACTTTGCTGGTAGGCCAGGGCCTCGTGGCGATATACAGATTAATAGAAACAGGTTAAATTAAGATTTAAGAGTTAGCCAATAAAAAGTTAGAGCCAATGGGCCAAGAGTGTCTTAATTAATATAGTTTCCTGTGTGATTATTTTGGTTCTGGGCAGCTGGGACGAATATGAGGTCTCCTCCAACATCCTGGCATGAGGAACACAGATTGACTTAGTCCACAGACTGCCTCCCCTTCTTCCTCTGTTACAAACCCATGGTGTGTGTTTATGCCTCGGGAACAGTGCACATATGCTCTGCCATGGCATAACACTGCTCGTGGAGAGTTTCCTGACAATCCTCAGGGCTCATGCTGCTGTGATTGAACGTAGCAGTCTCTGCTATGAAACAATGTTCTCTCAATCACAAACCTTTGAGCTCTGATGAGATGACCACAGCACTGGGGCCTGGAGCTTTGAGTGCTACAATCATGAAAGTAGGACATCTTTTGTAACACAGTCACTGGAGGATATTTCTGAAATCGTGTATAATTGATGGTGTTATATTTCTTCATGAGAGTAAGGTCTCATGAGGAAGTAAATATTCAAGGTATCAGTTTTGGAATTCCTAATCAGTCCTAAAAGGTTTGGTTCTTTTCAGCTGGGCATATGATTTCTAGAAGATGAGTGGATGACTTTCTAGAGAAGAGACTTTGAAACTGTTGCATAGATGGTGTTCCAACCCCCTGATGTAAGTAGTATAAATATGCCATTCCTCTTTAATGTCACATATGGGTGTCTATAATATTTAAAAACAGATGTTGAGTATGGTTATCTGTAATCCCAGAATTTGGAAGGCTGAGGCAGAAGGATCTTGATTTTGAGGTCATCCTGGAATATAAACAGAGTCCCAAGTCAGTTTGGAATATACAGCTAAACCCTGTCTCAAAAATGACTGGGTAAATAAATGACTGGATGAGTAAGCATGTAGATACTGAGGGAAAATATGAATTTTAGAGAAGAAACACAGTGTTTTCAACATACTCAAACAATATCTCAAAAGGGGCAGAAAATATGGATGCAGAAGAAAATCATCCTGAATTTTGTCACCTGATAATGAGGTGTCACTCTGATACCTCTGGGGCTTTCACACCTTCGCAGTCACATACAATGGTGCCATCTTTTGTCACCTCGTATCATGGCACTGCTTGAGTTGCTGTGTAATCTCACCAATGTTTTATTATTCCTGGGTGTGTAATATTTCATGTTACATTACCTACTCCGAGAGTGACAGCTTTATGATTATAAATGACTGACAAGCATCTTCGCACAGGAGACTTTATTGCTGGGAATGATTCCTTTGGAATAAAATTCTAGAAATGTTCTGGATTAAACAGGGCCTAAGTGTTATTATTTGCAAATGCAGGCCATTACGAAAGACACTGACATGGCACAGACAGTCTGTCATTTAGTATTAGAAAATTCATAAATGAGAAAACATGGCTATTTTGTCTATCATTTCTCTGATCAAGGCTGAAGTTTGCAGCATCCATATTCTACTGTGTTCCTTGGAACTCAGACTAGGTAGTTTACGTATTTACTCACCTTTGTTTCAGTCTGGTAACTTATAAATTGATCTCTTAGAGTTTAGAATAATAAAGTAAAAAAAAACATATAAATTACACGTTTTCATTTAAGAATAATTTGCCAACTGGGTGTGGTGACTCACACCTTTAATCCAAAGGGTCGACACAACCAGGCAAATCTCTATGAATTCAAGGCCAGCCTGGTCTACACAGAGAGCTCCAGGTGACTCAAGACTTCCTAGTGAGGCTTTGTCTCCAAATCCAAATGTACTACAAAATAGAGTAATTTATCAAGGCTGCTTATTTTACTACATAATTTTGGATATTCCAAAGCTTAAAGTTGTGTAAAACAAAATGTTTTTTTACCTTTATTTATCTGTGATTTGAAAGAATAAAATCAGTCTTATTTTCACATATCTGATTCATAACCATTCTATTTCTGAGTTTACCCTGCTTATTTTATATAATTATACTTTTTGAGGCAGGATATTTCTATGAAGTATAGGCTGACAGAAACTTAGAACATAGCCCAGGCTAGCTCTGATCCTC